GACCAGTGTTATGGTAGGTGTTGCTTTTCCTAATTTGAAGAAATATAGTCAAACCTATAAAGATGTTGCTAAATGTTAACTTGATCTGGAAGATAACATGACCAGTGTTATGGTAACGTAACACCTATGTTATCTCCAAGATCAAGTTAACATTTAGCAACATCTTTAGTTCTAGCCATCTTCCTTCAAATGAAAAGAGGATGAAGTCTGGTGTTGTGATTGCCTTTTGTATTTGTGAACATTCATCATCCTTATTTGAACAGAAAATTAAATACATTTTCAAAAGTGTAGCCTAACATTCTTTCAAGAAATGGTTTTCATTACAACAACATATTTCTTAGAAACTGGCAAGTGTCAGCAGGAGTCTTGAACACATGACACTGACATTTTTCAACAAGAATAAATGTGGCTAATTTGGAGTTATATTTATTTCAATGTTATATATAACATATTTGAATTTAAAAACACACAATTATTCTCTAGAAAGTAGAGGAAGTTAAGAAAAAATACGATTAGTAATTACAGCAAAAGGTAGAAAAAATACGATTAGTAATTACAGCAAAAGTTAGGAAAAAATATGATTAGTAATTACAGCCAAGGTTAGGAAAAAATACGATTAGTAATTACAGCAAAAGTTAGGAAAAAATATGATTAGTAATTACAGCAAAGTAAGGAAAAAAATACTGTTGAAAATCTGGGCCTACAGAATAGAAATGTAACTATTTCACACAAGTCAACACAAAACTGTGTGTCTACTATCAACTATTCAGATTAGCATGTAATAAACAATATAATTTTCATACAAAGAAATCAAAATTGATATATATGAAATGTATATGAAGTGAGAAATTGGAATTTTATTACAACATGATGAAAATGTTTTATGAAAATCACTGACAAATAACTAAAAGACCGACACACAGCAGATATATGTGTATCTTCATCTTAAACAGTATTTAACTTGAAGAATAAACTAAGACAGAATTAATGTAGTATTTACAATGAATTTCACTTTTATATTCAAGACAGAGACAAAAATACATTTTTCTTGATGTATATTATTTTTGTAGCAGGTAAAAACTGTGTTGTATGTATACAATCACGACTTACGGTAGTTATCTGAAGAGGAGATGTAGGTCAGTCCAATTAAACTAACATTCTCCACAGCATGAAGACAACATGTGAAAATGCCGAGTCGTTGCCACAACTCTCTCTTCAGGAGAGATTCTCTGTAAAATGTGAAGTACATAAAAACCACCAGAAATCTAGGAGCTGCATGTAGGCCAATCCCAACTCTCCAAACATACAACTGCGGTTTGAAACCACCTATTGCTGCACTGATTGAGGGCAAGTAGTTGTGGACCTAAAATAAATGTGTACGATAAACATTTGTCATTAATCAATGATGCATGGAGAGACAAAGTTAGCTTTTTTTACAATATGAGTTATGTGATTATATACATGGAAATAAAACTTTACAAGCCATAAAGAGGAGTTTCTGATATTGGTGTTTACCTAACTTAGACTTTACTGATGCAATAAAAGAGATACAACTTCAGTAAATAACAACAATGAAGATACTATTGGATTATTAAAAAATCCTAACTACGTATACAGAGTTTGATAAAATTAATTTTTCATGGTTGGTAAGCAATGAAAACATTTCAAAGACTTCTATTTTAGACTTCTGTAGGTCCTTCTTAAGTCTTCATAAAGTATGTGTTGTTTACTTTCTGTAGGTCCTTCTTAAGTCTTCATGAAGTATGTGTTACTTTCTGTAGGTCCTTCTTAAGTCTTCATGAAGAACCTAATTAAGTCTTCATAAAGTATGTGTTGTTTACTTTCTGTAGGTCCTTCTTAAGTCTTCATGAAGTATGTGTTGTTTACTTTCTGTAGGTCCTTCTTAAGTCTTCATAAAGTATGCGTTGTTTACTTTCTGTAGGACCTAATTAAGTCTTCATAAAGTATGTGTTGTTAACTTTCTGTAGGACCTAATTAAGTCTTCATAAAGTATGTGTTGTTAACTTTCTGTAGGACCTAATTAAGTCTTCATAAAGTATGTGTTGTTAACTTTCTGTAGGACCTAATTAAGT